CCGTCATTGTTGTTTGGCGGGTCCGGGCTGGGGATTCGAACCCGCCACCTTAGGTGTACGTGGCTGGCGCCTTAGCCGGTTGAGCCATAGGCGCCGAGCCCTAAATCTCACATCTTAAAAAATTCAAAACACATCATAGAATTAAATATAAAACTATAAAACTTTAGGAAAAAATAGGAGAAACTCTATTCAGAACGTAAGGCTGGGCAGAATAATTAGACTTGACACCAAAGAAATGAACCATAAGAGGAAAACTGGTAACTTGGACTTTATCACAATTGGAAGCTTCTGTTTCCTGAAAGCTCATGTAAAGATGATGAAGACAAGCTAGAAAGCAGGAAAGACAGTGCAGGTCACATGCATATGTGACTAAGGACTCGTCATCTGGAACTCATAAGGGATGTATCTGTAAAGAAACAATCAATGCAAAGAGAAAGTGACAATGACATGAACAGACAGACATCCACCCGAGAGGAAACATAGGTGGCAGACAAGCGCTTGAAAGGACTTAGCATCACCCGCCTCAGGGAACACAAATTAAAGTCGCAAGGAGCTAGTACTACACGCCAAGAAGCTAGTACTACATGCCAAGGAGCCAGGACTGCACACCAAGGAGCCAGTACTACACGCCAAGGAGCCAGGACTACACACCAAAGAGCTAGTACTACAGGCCTAACAGAGCAGCCAAACGGAAAACAGCCAAACAGCACGTGCTGAGGAAGGTGTGGAAGATAAGGTCACTCCCACGTGGCCAGCGGGCGTGTAAAACAACACAGCCCCTCTGCAAACATTTTGCTTGTGTACTGAAAAACTAATCATCCAACTACCACAGGACCCAGCAACTGCAATGCTGGGTATTTATCCTAGAAAAATGGAAACTTCAGCCTGCACAGACTTCTTTAATGCAGATGTTCAGTGACTTTCACTGTAAAAGCCCCACACTGGAATCAGCCCAGATGTCCCTCAACGGGAGAATTGTTAAACCAACTCTAAACAAAACCATGAAATGCTACTCAGCAATAAAAAGGAAAAATTATTAACATGAGAGACAATGTGGATGATTATCCAGGGAATCATGGGTGAAGAAGGCAAACCTCACAAGGTTACAGACTGTACAAGGTCTGAGGACTAAGGGCATGAACTTGCCACTGTGCTCTTATGCTGGCAACACTGTGCAAACAGCTTGGTGAGGCTTCATGATCCTGGTGTGTCACAGTCTCACAGCTGTGCTCATGCTGACATGTGGACACTGGCAGTACTGTGCAAACAGCTTGGTGAGGCTTCATGTCTCACAGCTATGCTCACGCTGACATGTGGCAGCGTCCAGCTGAGTGGAACTCACTACTGTTTTTGCATGTTTTTATGTGCCTTCATAAGAATGTTGGAGCCTGAATTAGAGCAATTAACAGACACAAAATTTCTTGTTAAACTTGACAAGAATGGAAATGAAATCGGACATGGGAGAGAAAGTGTCACTGATGAAAAGAGGTCAGGGGGGCTTTAACAAGCAGAACTGACAGAAACTTTGCAAAAATTCATCGAATTGAGTCAAAATCATCAGCTGAAGGTGAAAGCAAAGCAGACCAAGAAAACATTGACTGAAAAGAAGTTAGGAAAAGCTTTTTCTTTTTGAGACAGAGCCTCACTCTGTCATCCAGGCTAGAGTACCATGGCATCAACCTAGCTCACAGCAACCTCAAACTCTGGAGTTCAAGCAGTCATCCTGCGTCAGCCTCCCAGGTAGCTGGGAATGTAGGTGCCTACCACAATGCCCAGCTAATTTTTCTATTTTTAGTAGCAAAGGGGTCTCACTCATGCCTAGGCTGGTCTTTAACTCCTGAGCTCAACTGACCCTTCTCCAGAGTGCTGGGATTACAGGTGGGGGGCACTGCACCTGGCTGAGCCTAGGAGCCTGAGGTTTCCCTGCCCAATGATGATACCACTGCCCTCTAGCCAAGGTAACAGAATGGGACCTATATCCAAAAACTAACCCTGACAAAACTGGGGTAATGGACTGTGGATTACTGTTTGGTATTATATCCATGTGAAATGTCCTCATTTTGATCAAACTAGTGTGGGTATACAAGAGATTGTCCTTGTTCTCAGGAAATATACAGTGAGACATTTAAGGTTCAAGGTCTACAATGTCTACAGTTTACTCTCAAATGATTAAGAAAAAAAACATGTAGACAGTGATGACAAAGCAAATGTGGCAAAACAGGAATAGTGTAACTCATGAGTAGGTGTAAACTTCCTCATAGGACAGAAAGTTCCTTGCAGTATTACTGCAACTTTCCCATGCGTTTGAAATTGTATAACAATTTACAGAAGTCCCCCTCCCCCGGCCAAATGTCCTTATAAGGTGGGGTCTGTCAGACAACAATTATGGATAAGATTATGTCCAATTTATCAACAAATGGATTTAGAGGATGGTCAAAGAGAATGTTTACCACCTCACTTCATAAAACTAACATAAATGTGATACAAAATATGACTCAATGTAGCCCTCGCTGACAGGGAGGGGGGGGGCTGTCCTGCCCTGTGATGGGGCCGTGAAAGCCACTGCACTAAAAAAAGAGGTATGACAGGCCAAGTTCTCTTCTTAAAGAGTTTAGAAATTCTGAATACAATATTAGTAAACCAAATCCAGTAATGTAGATATATATAAAACCCATGAAGATGCTTTAACAATATTAAAATTAATGTAAAACAGTATAGGGAAAAAAAACACATAATCCCAATAAAGAAAAGCATTTACTGGAAATCAATACATATTTGTAACATAAATATTCCCAGCACACTACAAGTTTCATTTCTTTGCCTTTTCCCCTTGTTAACTTTTCTTGTTAAATTCTCCAGTATGGGGTCAATTAGAAATGGTGGTAGCTGGCCGGGTGCAGCAGGTGGAAGGTGCTTCCTTAAGCTCATAAAGGTGTGTTCTGAAACCCTACAGAGCAGATCAGAACAAAAAGAACATGGGAAACTGTTCTCATTAAGTTGAGAAGCTAAGAATGCTCACTACCACCATCCCTTCCTTTCTTCCTTTTTTCTCTCTTTCTCCTGGGTAGAGTGCCGTCGTGTCACAGCTCACAGCAACCTCAAACCCTTGGGCTCAAGTGATCCTCTTGCCTCAGCCTCCCAAGTAGCTGGGACTACAGGTATTCACCACCACACCCAGCTAGTTTTTTCTCTTTTTAGTAGAGGTGGGGTCCCACTCTTGGCTTAGGCTGGTTTCGAATCCCTGAGTCCAGGTGATCCATCTGCCATGGCCTCCCAGAGTGCTGGGATTATAGGTGCTAGCCACCACACCCACCCAATTACCACCATTCCATTTCTAATTAATACCATACTGGAGAATTAGCAAGAAAAGTTAACACAATGGGGAAAAAGGCAAAGAAATAAAAGTCAAAGATTTGAAAGAAGAAAAAACCTTATCTGAACAGAAACTCTAGCAAAATCCACAAACTGAAAAAACAAGGAAATTCAGAAAATTCATCCTAAAATCCATATAGATGAGCGAAGGGCCAAAAAATAGGCTACATAAAAATCAAGAACAAGATGAAGTCACAACACCAGCAATCAGAAGCAGCTGCAAAGCCATAGGGAGGCCCTGACACAGGGCGGACAGAGCCTGGAGTCAGACCGGGGCCCGGAAGGCGACTCAGGTGTGCACAGAGCAAATGGTGCTGAGGCCTCCCCTGAGATCCGAGCCCTGCAAACACAGCTGCGGCTCTGCCCTACACCCCCATCGCAGAGGAGGACAGGGTGCAGGCGGGGTGCCTGCCCTCAGCTGGCACATAACAGGACATCAGCCCCTGAGCCCCAAAAGCTGAGTAAGACCTTGATGTGGAACTGGGGTGAGTGGGCTGGGAGAGTGAGGAGAAGCCGCTCAGACGAGGCAGAGAGAGAAACGAGAGGACTGCGGGACCATGGGAGGCACATGCAGGTGACCATGGACTTAGCTGCTCCAGAGATGCCACAGGGCTGGTAAATCCCTGGGTTACTGTTCCCATCCCATTTTCTTTTTTCTTTTCTTTTTTTTTTTTTTTTTTTGAGACGGAGCCTCAAGCTATCCCCCTGGGTAGAGTGCCATGGCATCATGCTCACAGCAACCTCCAACTCCTGGGCTCAAGTGAGTCTCCTGCCTCAGCCTCCCAAGTAGCTGGGACTACAGGCGCCCGCCACAACGCCCGGCTATTTTTTGGTTGCAGCCATCATTGTTGTTTGGAGGGTCCGGGCTGGGGATTTGAACCCGCCACCTTAGGTGTACGTGGCTGGCACCTTAGCAGGTTGAGCTATAGGCGCCGAGCCCCCATCCCATTTTCTAACAACACTGAAACCAGGAAGGGAGGACTAATGGTCTTTATTCTGGGAAAGAGAACCATGGGCTTAGAGATGCTGACCGGCCACCCATGCCACAGAGCTACCCACAGGCCAAGAGGGCCCACACCCCAAGGTCAGGGTGTGAGTAGTAAGGGGCGCCTGCTCCAACATGATACATGGACTCCATCCTGGAGCACCTCAAGGTCACAGGCCATTCAAGACAACACCAGGCCCACATGTTCCCAGGGAAGGCACCTTCGGGGGGCTTACTTCTTTTACACAGAAACGAAGACTTCTCATAGCAGCTCTCAGCGTGCCAGCTGTGGAGGTCATGGTGCCGCAGGGTGGGGAAGTGGAAGCACTGGAGCTGGGCGCAGAACACACTGTCGTGCTCAGACATGGCTGAGGCGAAGATGGGGTCTGGTGGCAGGAACACCTCTGAGGAGCCTATTGGGGAGAGAGCAGGCGGAGCCAGAAAGAACACGGTCAGCAGCTGAGTCAAGCATATTCCTCACGGAGACCATGGCATCAGACATGACCAAAGAGCCTGTGGACCACCCAGGGCTGGTTGTCCCTGCAGCCTGGCATTCATTCATGACTCCTGGCCTCTGGGTAGAGCAGGCTAGGTGGTGTCGAGCTACTGGGACCAGCAGAGGACATGAATCCAGATGAGCTGATGGCCTTTGAAGCTAGAGCAACAACATGAAAAATGAAATCAGGGGCTCAGCACAGTGGCCCATGCCTGTAATCCCAGTACTTTGGGAGGCTGAGGTAGGAGGATCCCCTAAGGCCAGGAGTTAGAGGCTGCAGTGAGCTAAGGCTGTGTCACTGCAGTCCAACCTGGGTGACACAGAGACCCTGTTTCTTAAAAACAAAGTAATGGACTATAATAATTGGATTAAAGTGCACGCACTCATATTGATAAAATGAACAAACACAGAAAAACAGGTAGGAGAAACAAATGGGTAGGGGGAAGTTCTGGGCTGAATACCGAGTCATAACTGGAAGATTCTGAAGTCTCCATGCCATACATGAGGAAGGCGCCGTCTGGAGGGAATCACGGCTCTGATACCCCTGGGGACATCAGCCCTCCCGTCAGCTGACAGGGGAGCATGTAGATGGTCCCTTCTAAGGGAATCACAGCTCTGATACCCCTGGGGACATTAGCCCTCCCGTCAGCTGACAGGGGAGCATGTAGATGGTCCCTTCTGGGGGAATCATGGCTCTGATACCCCTGGGGACATCAGCCCTCTCGTCAGCTGACAGGGGAGCACGTAGATGGTCCCTTCTGGGGGAATCATGGCTCTGATACCCCTGGGGACATCAGCCCTCCCGTCAGCTGACAGGGGAGCACGTAGATGGTCCCTTCTGGGGGAATCACAGCTCTGATACCCCTGGGGACATCAGCCCTCTCGTCAGCTGACAGGGGAGCACATAGATGGTCCTGTCTGGGAGAATCACAGCTCTGATACCTCTGGGGACATCAGCCCTCCCATCAGCTGACAGGGGAGCATGTAGATGGTCCCTTCTGGGGGAATCACGGCTCTGATACCCCTGGGGACATCAGCCCTCTCGTCAGCTGACAGGGGAGCACGTAGAAGGCACTGGCCCCCAGACTCCCTCTCTCAGCTCCAGGGAAACAGCCACTCACTCAGCTCCTAACCTCGAAGCTGGGGAAAAGGTGATCAGTGACCATAATACCCTCACAGTTAAGGGCACAGGGAGGGATAGCTAGCCTCTAAGCTGTTCTTCTAAAATGTCCCAGGTGGGGGATCCTGGTGACACCCCATGGCCAGGCACAAGATACCCAGCTCCAAGGCCACTCTCCAGCCTACACAGCTCTCCAAGGGTGGGCCCCCAAAATGTTCCGTGAGGCTAACCCGACCTAAATCACTGGAAATACAAAAGGAGCCTTTCCCGGAAAGCAGAATGATGAACAAACACCCCAGGCTCTCACGGCACTACCAGGTGGCATGGCCAGCTCTCTAACGAGCCCCCAGGCTCTCTCCACTGCTGCTTTCTACACTCTGTCCACTCCAGCCTGGCAAGGGTTGAGCCCAGAGGCAGCCTGACTGGTGGGCCCATGGACACAGAGCACCCTGGCAAGAGCAGGAGGGCCGCTCTCAAGAAGCACCGACACCGACACCTGTAAGGCTGGGCCCTGGCTGGCGAACAGCACCACGACAGCTGCACCCCCTTTCCCAGGAACACCCAGCTCCCAGCGTCCTGCCTGCCTGTGTGTCAGGCTGCCGGGGGCAGGGAAGAGGCCAGCTCCCTGGAAACATCTCCTCCCCCAGCCCAAGGCATAGTCCCACCAGTGAAAATAGGTGCTGCCCCCAGCACACATGTACCACCATGTCCCTATCCTCCAGATCCCCACTTCCCAGCCAGGCCCTAAACCCTTGCACACTCTCAACCCCCACAGATGCCCCTTTGCCTAGGAAGGCTCCTTCCCCTTTTATTTTTTTT